TTAACGTTTTTAAGCCTTATGTTAAACATAAAGTTTTGATAAACAAAGAAAAAAACCAACTTTTCAACTTTTCGCTTTAACCACCTTGTAAAAATTTTCCACGCAGAGATTTAAAGTAATTTAAATTCAAAAATGTTTTACGTTGAAAGAAAATCTCAGCGCGAAAGAGCAAATCATCTATTCATCTATCTATTCAGAACAATAAATTTTGTGTGACGTTCTTTATGATAAAAACATTACTTTTAAGAATTGCTAAAAAAAATGCTAAGCTAGAAAAAAAGTAATTAATCAACCAAAAAAAAACAAGTCGCAAAAAGATTTTTTTTAAGAAAAAACTAATCACAAAAATGTGTGTAGCAATCGCGATACGCTTAATACGAGCCCTGTAAGACTTTTTTATAAGTTCTAAACTATTTAAAACTATTACTTAATAACTTTTTTTAACGACGTCTTTCAACCAAATGCTATTATACTGTTTTTGCAAAACTAATTAAAAAAACTTGATTAAAACTTAACTATTTAATCCCGACTTTTTTTTACTTGAAAATCAAAGTATATATTCTAAAGTTGTTGTGACGTATGTAATAATAAAATATATTTGTTTTTTCTTACTGTCTTCTGAATATCTTTACTCAATATTTATACATTTGCAAAATACCCCCGAGAGTATAATAAACAGTATAAACGTTATGTACAATATAATATATACGACGCGCCCACAACATTCCTTTTGATGCAACACGTTAATAAATTATATACAATACAATTATTTACACTAATTACAACGTACTAACGTGATTTTTAACGACTAACAATTGAGTTTCAATAGTGAAAAAATAAAATCAAAATGGAGTTGTTTTTTAGTGATTTCGGCAATTGCTTTTTGTTAGCATGCATTTATTATTACAATTTAGTGAAAAAGAAAAAAAACTTACATATTTTTTTTTATGCTCTTTCGTATGAGATCATATGTTAGGAGCACTTAGGGATCCCTTTAAAAACAAAATAATCACTATTCACATATTTTTAATTGCGTTTTGGCAGTCGAAGTAAAACATTTAAAAAAACTTGTTTTCTAAATAATAATCTACGTCATTCAGTAAATTAGAAATTAGAAATATTTTCAGCCAAAATTTAACTAAATTCAAAAAACTTTTGTTATTAAAATTATAACTTATATTATTTATAACTTAATTAAAATTGTAAATTTATTTGAGAAAAAGAAAAGTTTAAGTTTTGTGAAAACGTTTGCTAAAAAAGTTATAAAAGTTCTATTAGCGTTAGCAACAAAAAATAATTAAATATGTTTTAACAAAAAGAAATGATTATTTTATTGTTTTAATGTTTTAATGACGCGAAAACAATACGAAGTTATATTTTAATTAAAGGAAAGAAAAAATGGAAAAACGAATGAAACAATTGAAAAAAACGAAAGCTTATGAACTTCTTTCAAATAAACTTGATGTAATAATAAAAAAAAATTGGCTGTAGTATTAGTTAAAGATGAAGACAAAGAAAATACATAAAAATAAACTTATTCTTTAAAACAAGATCATTAAGAACTAGTTGGAAAAAAAAACACAATCAGATGAAATTAAATAATAAATTAGGAAGTCAAAAAAATTAAAAAAAAAGCAGTGCACTGCCTGACGTTTTGTCAGGCAGTGCACTGCTAAATAATAATTTTAAAATGTTTATTGTCTAAAGAACGTTGTATAACAAATTCAAATTAATAAAATTGTGTGGAACACCCATATCCAAAAATAAAAAATTGCTACCGATATCTTAATGACGAGTGCTAATCGCGAAGGTGTGAAACGCAATCAGGATTTGCGATAAGCTTAATTCGAGCCCTGATATATATATATATATATATATATATATATATATATATATATATATATATATATATATATATACACACACACAGTTAATTCCCAGTAAGTGAAATACCACTTAACTTGAACTTATGCTATCTCAAACTGTTTCATTTATTCCTTTGAAATCGTCTAGCTGATTACTACTAAAATTCTCCGGTTAATTCGAACCTTGGATAACCCAAACTTTGTTAAGTCAAAGTTTTATCCTCTTACAACAAATTCCTTTGGTTAACTCAAACTTTTTGCGTGGAAAAAAAAAGCAAAATTATTTGATTAAATTTATTTCAGAATTTTATATATAAAACATAAATAACAGTAGCCTAGTATTTTCAATATTTTTTGCTTGCATTTTGATCAGAATAGAATAGATCATTATCAGAGGTAAAATAATGCTACGAATATGCTACCAATGCTACTAATGCTAATGCTACCAATATTAATTAATTTTACAAAATAAATTATAAAAATGTACCATTAAAAGGATCCCCAACTGCCGAGACAAGTTGTGTTTTTAACTTATTTTCTTATGTTTATCATAGATAAACATAAGAAAATAAGTTAAAAATTAATTTTAAATCTAAAACAAATTATTGAATGAGATATTAACAAAAGCATTTGTTGTTTTGCCATTATACTTCCGGTTGAGAGCCTAATTTTAAGCTCTCAAATCTGCATAGTTTTTTCCGTTAAAAAAATATCTGGTTTCAATAATAAATGTTTTCGTTCACTGCAGAGTTTTTTAAACTCAGGTTAGTTTTACACAATCAGATTGGGTTTTCCCCTTTATATTTAGTCTGTAGTGATTAATTATGTAAAGCAAACTTCAAAATACACAAGATGGATATTTTTCTTAAAAAATAAGTAATCTATTCTTTTATAAACAACACTAAGTACAATATAATACAATATTAGAGAATTCCCTGCAATTTAAACTTGATTTGAAAGAAACTTTTTTATTGACGTCAAATATAAACACATTAATCAGACCTGATTTAAAAAATAAAAATAATCAAAGATATGGAACTTTCCTTAACAAGAAACAAAATGGCTTTGAAAATGAAGAAGTCTTTGTTAATATTTCATAATTTCAATAATTTATTTTTAAAAATTTAACTAACTTTTAACTTGTTTTCTAATGTTTCTATGATATGAACACAACTTGTCTCAGCACTTGGGATCCCTTCAAAAAAAAAGCAATTATTATTTGGTATTAATAAATTTTTTAATAAAAGATGCTTTTGGATGCAACTTTATTACCAAATGATAAGGAAGTCATTGTGTCATTGCTAAACTTTTTTCAATATAATCTTTTGAATAAACAACATGAATACAATTAGCAACTTCTTTCACTGAAACATAAAGGTGCTTAAACACTTTTAATAAACTTGCTTTGTTATATCAGTAAATAATCAACTTATATCTCAATTTTTTATTGTGGACACTTGCAAAATGTGTAAATGCAAAGATTTTCAATATGCAAAATGTGGGAGTATAGTACAAGAAATATCTCATAACTTAAACCCAATCTCTGGTTTTAAGTTATGAGATATTTTAAAAAAAGTTGATAAAAGGTCGCTCATTGCAAAGTCATTGAATTTTTTTAAGCAAGAAGCAAATTATCATTTCACAGCTCAATCATGGCAGTTTGCAGAACGACATCATATTTTTCACTTAACAAAATTGTATTATCTATTAATGTAGTTTATTTTTTAGATATAAATAAATAAAAATTTGCTCACTATTTAAAGTGCTAGTCAAGATTATTATTAGAGCCAAAAAAAATATTCTGAAAAAAAAAGTTAGCATTTTTTAGTTACATAATAATAATCTAAAGTGTTAAAGTTGATATGTTTGTATACATGTATATTATTTTTAACAGTGACAACTTTTTTGAAATTTTTTCAAAAAAGACAATCACGTTAGGCCCCTATGGCTGATCCCATGGCTGCAGACCTATTGTTACGCTACTGGTAATTGATGTATTTATATTCATTAAATCATTATTTATATATAGAGTGTAATGGTGTATTATAACTTTTGCATATTAGTAATGAATAAAGAAGATTTGCCTTAATTCGAACAAATATTTCATATCAGCCAAAGATCATCCTAATGAAAATTTGAACCATTTTCCTTTGTCCCTCAGTGGGACATCGAGTTATCGGAAACTAACTGTGATAACTTTGAGTTATCACAGTTAACTCCCGATAACTTTGAGTTATCGGGAACTAACTGTGTGTGTGTATATATATATATATATATATATATATATATATATATATATATATATATATATATATATATATATATATATATATATATATATATATATATATGCTTATTCAATGTTTTTTAACCACATCTTTGAATGCTATAATATTATTTTAGTCACATAATAATCTGATTTTTTTTTTAAATTTTGCATACTTTTGATACATCAGAGAATACTGTAGACACCCCTTTATTGCTCTTGATACATCCTTTTAAATCCTTTTTTGGATACCTAATTGTATAAATTTTAATAAGAATTGATAAATTTATGACAATTTAACCATAGTTGGACATTAAGTCTCAGTTTTCATAAGAAGTATATGTAATCGAAACTTGATACTTAATACTCAATAACCTTTTGCAGAATGACTTGATTTCGGTAAAATTTTCACCTCTAAAACACTGCATTCTTTCACCTCTAAAACACTGCATACTTTCCAATCATATATACAGTAATCAAACATTTGACCAGTTAAAAAATATTATGTCATATACCTAAATACAAGTGTTAAACACGATGATGTATTAGCTTATACTATACAAATATTGGCATATAATAAGAAAAGAAGTTGGCCAAGTTAAGATCTTTGACAGATTCATGAGTTATTTAAACATCATACCAAATTTATACTATTCAAGTTCTATATATCATTCAAATTTACAGCAACTTAAAACTTACTAAAAATAATCTTATTTGATTTTTAATTTTTTTTTATTAAAAATAAAAAATTTAACCGTTAAAATTACAAATTGAAATTCAAAAATAATAAGTTGCAAAAACATGCAATAAACTTTATAAAGTAAAAACCCATTAAAAAATAATAAACAATCTGTATCAATAAGATATACCTTAGCTAATTCAATACACTCAGGGATTTGTTTATCACAAGTGTCACTATAACTCATATCCATTTTTACAATGTTCCCTTTCATGTCTGTAACTGTTTCAGCAGCCATCTTTATTGAAATTGGTTCAAAAAACTTTAATATTTAATATTATAAATATTTATTTATACTTGAAACGATATTAATAGGAGTTTAGACAAACATTTTTTATGGATATAAACTTTTAGAACATTACTTTAAGAAACATTCAAAAAATATTAAATAATATGTTATATCTATTAATCTATTTATCTATCTATCTGAATATATATTATCAAAAGCATATAGCACTTTTTCCATGTTCACTTTTAAAACAAACAGGATATCTTTACACCGTGAAAAGACAATTTTTAAAAATAATAAAGTGTTCCGGATATTATTGTTTTTACATTCGGAACACATTTCTTGACGGTTTTAACCAAGGCCTTCTAAAGTTGAAGGCCCGCTAATGGAATGAAAAAACTCTTGTGACGTCACTTTAGTAAATTTTTTGATTATCTATTTGTTTCTAAATATCTCAAGTTGTAAATTTTAAAGATTTAGTTTTCATATTTTCGATGCAGTTTATTATGAATTTAGTACATTTTAATCAATTTTAGTAAAGTGTGAAATAGTTGGTGTTTTTAAATTTTCAACCGATCCAAATATGAAAAAAATATGGATTCGTCAAATTCCTCAAGAAAATTTAGTTCCTTCAAATAAAACGGGTAGGTACAATCGGCAGAGCAGAGCAGATTGGCAGAGCACATCATTGTAATGTTGATAGCGGCAGAGCAGATTAATCCAATCAGCCATTTTCTAATGTGTGATCTGCCAAATATTATTTAGCAAATCACACATTATTCAAATATTATTTGGCAGATCACGCATTATTAAAATATAATTTTGCAGATCACAAAATAGAAAACGGCTGATTGTCTGTCTGTGATAATCTGCTCTGTCGTTATTATTATTACAATGATCTGCTCTGTCAATCTGCTCTGCCGGTCGCATTATGATCTGCCGATATATTTGGCAGATCACACATTAGAATACGCCAGATCACTTTTTTTTAGGAAAAGTATTGCGACAATAAAAAACGTTTATGTTTAAAAAGTCAACTCATAGTTCATTCTATTCGAAGTGCATCGTTTTTCATAAAAATATTTGGCAATCACATAATAAAAATTCTATTATATGATCTGCCGAATTATTTGGCAGATCACACATTAGGAAACAGCTGATTGAATAATCTGCTCTGCCGTTATTAATATTTCAATGATCTGCTCTGCCAATCTGCTCTGCTCTGCCGATTGTACCTACCCAAATAAAACTGCTGCGTAAAAAAAATTTCTCATTCATATATTTATAGTTTGCATTGATACAATGAAACGAGATGATGGTTCTGTAATATGTGTTGAGAGTAAAAGACCAAAATTAATTCAAGATTCTTACCCATCATTATTTCCTAACATTTCTTTTTATTTATCAATAAAATTTATATTTACAATAACCTACTTGTTGGAATGTTTACTTGTAATTTAAAGAAAGACAGCAGTTCGGTGGATAAGTTACTTAACGATGAATGTAAACTTTCTTATTTGACTCAATTGTCCACAATGTTAACACAAATATTTCCTGATAATAAAAGTATTATGTCCAGTTCAGATTATGTTTTAATAATTCAATGTAATTTAAATAATCTATGTGAACAAGTTAAAGACAGTAATAAATATTCTACAGTTGTTCATAAATGTTTAGTATTTTTATGTGAAAAAATGAAATATTATTGATTTATCAACCTTGATATAGTCTTGATACTCTAGCTTTTAGTTTTTATCTGAAATGCATGTCATATATGTCATATATGTCATATATGACATATATGACATATATAAAGAAGCTATAAATGTTTGCACTATGCATAGTGCAAGCATTTATAGCTTCTTTATTATCATCATACAAAGATGTTGCTCAGTATCATTCAAAGATGTTGTTTCAGTAAAAAGTATGACTATCTATTTAAAAAAATGCTATAAAAGTGGTTGAAATGATAAAAAATTGTGGTTACAAGGTTCTTTCTTTAATTTCAGACATTAGTCAGATTAATTGAAACATGTTTATTGCCTTTTGTAGTGGTAATTTTAACTCATTTATTCAATACTTTAAGATTCAGCAAGAAAACTGTTTTTTTATTTAATAGTTACATCTATTGAATGTATTTGCATTAACTGGCTGAAATAACTTGACAACGATCATTATTTCTTTATCCTGCTTTTACTGATAATTCTAAATGTAATGTATTTAACAAATTTGACAAAGGACAACGGTTTCAAGGCCAAGGCCTTAATTTTTAGCCTTAAGGCAAAAATTAAGGTCTTAAAGTTTCCAAGCAAACTTTAAGGCCTTAATTTTTGAAAAAAAAATTTTTAAAAAAAGTTTCCAAGCAAACTATTTTTGCTTGGAAACACATTAGATAACTTTTATTGAACTGATTAAATACATGCTAACTGATTTGCATTTTTTCTATGTGTTGACAAACTATTTGGAAGCATGATTTGGTTCTTATCGAAAGTTTTCGGATGGAAATTATCATGTATTAGTCCAAGAGATAAAAGAATCAGAAAAAAAAATCATTAGTTCTTTAGAACATTATGTGAACTAAACTGAATAAATACATGCTAACTGATTTGCATTTTTTCTATGTGTTGACAGGAAAATTTTAAAAAAACTATTTGGAAACACGATTTGGCTCTTATCGAAAGTTTTTGGATCGAAATTATCATGTATCAGTTCAAGAATCAGAAGAAAAAATCATTAGTTTTTTAAAACATTTCTACTAAACATGGCAGTATATTATTCTTAGACTTTACTTCTGGATGAAATCGTGTCAATGCAATTGAATCTACAGACAATTCTGAAGATGTTTTTATTTATCAACTAAAAGTTTGTTAAAAAAATTAAAAAAAAAAGTTTAAAAAATAAAAAAAAAAATTAAGTTTTAATTTTTTCTTCTTTGATATCTTCTAAATATGAATCCATGTATTAGTTGATGTCAAAGTACAAACAAATTTCTTTTTCAATTAAGTGTTAAGAGTTTCTTGAGGTGAATGATGGTGTATGCAGTTGTGGTATCTCAATACTCTATATTGCATGACTTGGCATATGTACACTACCAAATACAATTATTAAAAAAAGTTTTTTTGATATAATTGTTTTTGAAGGTTATCAGCTCTTTTAAAAAAGCTGATAACCTTTAAAGTGTAGAAAAAAATAGTATAAAAAAGTTCTAAAAGTATTGAGGAAGCGGGCAACTTTCATAAATTGTTATTTCAGAATATTGCTAAGCTTACTTTAATAATAAAAAAATAAGAATTTATTAGTCTTAATGAGACTTTTGATATATTTTTTAAAAATTAATTAATCATTAATTTAATGTAAAAAAAAACTAACTTGTAAAGAAAAAAAGTTACTTTCAAAATAAATGTAATTGTTATTATTATTATTTTTTTCATTCACTATTTTTTTGTAATCGGATACTTTAAATTAAACGAAATATAAAAAATTTATCTTGCAAAAGTTTATAATAAGAATAAATCTTTTTAAACAAGACAAATATCAATGGACTACTAACGTGGCGTCGCATTCCGCGTGAGCGGGCCTTCTACTTTAGAAGGCCTTGTTTTAACCCATCAAAACATATCTTCCGAATATAAAAACAATTTTGTTTTCTCTTATTCAGAGATCAAAAAAAAAAAATAAAAAAATACATTAAATCTGTTTATACCTTGATAAAGAGGTGCTACACCAGTTCCCTCTATGCCGATGAAAACAAAAGCACATTTTTAATTATGCCAATAATTTTACTGTCGTCAGCATACAGTCTTATAGGATGCTGTCTGTCAGGTCATTAATGAAGATTACGAAGAGCAATCGGCTCAAAACCGAGCCTTGAGGCACGCCACTAGTGACTGCTTGCTGTTTAGATGTGATGCCGTTGATGACCACTCGTTGACTTCGGTCGCGTAACCAAGTTGACATCCGGTCTACAAGCGCACTTTGATTACCATAAACTCATGAAAAAGGCTACTTTGTCAAACGTCTTCGTAAAGTCTGCGTATATGACGTCTACTGCGTGGCAGCGAAGAATCACTTCCGCCATGATGTCCCGAGTTTACATACAGATTTGGAGTAATTAAGCTATTAGCAACACAGTGTTCCATTATGCTTGTTTGAAAAATAATTTCATAACTTTTTCTTAAAATGAACGGAAGCTGGATGACACTTATCGAGTGTTTAAAGTTTGATTAGTTTCAGGAGCTAAAAGTTAAGTAGTTCCGTACATGAAAATTCTCATGTAGTTTTTTGCTATTTTAGGGAAGCATAATACATAACTTTTCTAATTAACAAACTATTTGCATCTATTGATACCTAAAATCTCCTTAATAATATAGCATACTGATAATTCCAGTCTATGATTAGCACAATGCCTTATTATAACAGAAGGAAGTTTAACAACGCAACTTTTGTATTCTAAAATCACTGCTGTGCTGTCACACGCTACATAAACAAAGTAATTTTTCAGTTGTCTCATAAGAATGAAGACATTCGAGCATCAAATACTTCTTAAGCCATAACGCTTTCAAGTTATATTAAATCCTAAAATAAATTGATAAGTGAATTCCACTTCTTTTTACACAGCACTGAATGTGTGACATGCCAGGGCTGCCGGCAACTTCAGTACATTTTTTTCTTTTTTTTCTTTTTTCTATTTTAATTTAACATAAAAATTTTACAACTTCGTGCTTCATAAAAAAAAAGTAAGTAAAAGATAGGGGCTCAAAGAAGATGAGGATGACAGTACGGCATCGCAATCTTTTCATAGAGCCCTTTTAACAAAATTTCAATAAAATATCGTAATACGTAATACGTCATAAAATTTCGTAAAATATATACGTAATAAAATTTCAATTAAATATCGTAATAAATATCGTAATAAAATGCGTAATTCGCTAATAAGATTGTTAAACAATAACAACAACAACAACAACAACAACAATAACAACAACAACAACAACAACAACAACAACAACAACAACAACAACAACAACAGCAACAACAACAACAACAACAACAACAACAACAACAACAACAACAACAACAACAACAAAG